TACCGGTAACGAATGTTGTCCTATAAATATATTACGAAATAAATGCCTCCGATAGGATTCAACCTGCAACCTCTCGCTGTCAATGTGACCGTATAACCATATATATAGATTTGCTATATAGAAAAAGCATAAAAAGTTCTAGCAAATGGTTTTGCCAAAGACATTCAGACGGAGGAAAAATAAAAATAAAATTTTATTGCTGATTATTAAAAAGTGTATTAATGGGAACGTTAAATGCTTTAAATTTATATAATTATTAAGAAATATACATACCTTAATTTTTGGAGATTTCAAGGCAGTGGTGGGCGTGAAAAATAAGAAAAACTTTCACCTTTTTCTGAAATTTATATTGTTCGTGTGGTGTATGCGCTAATTGGCCAAAAGTAAAATTTTATTTTTATATGAAATCATCAACACTGGTGGGCGGTGGGTTTGCAAAACGAGGTATAAAAAAGTCTCATCTTAGCCACTCTACAAAATGTTTAAATAAATGAAATGTATGTTATAACAATGATAACGCAGATGTAGGCTTGGGCGCATTGAAAATGCAAGATTAAAAAATTTAAATAACTTTAATATAGTAGTACAGGTCTCCCTGCAATTAAGACTACTTTTTGGGGAACCGGGGAAACCGTGGTTTCCATGGTCTTTAGCAGTTTTGGTTTTTACATCAATAATGACAAAAGACAGTGGTTCATTTGGAACCACAAAAAGTGGTTTTTAATTTAAGGTGGTCCTTAATTACAGGGGTCTTTAATTAGGGAGAGAACTGTATATGTTTTTACTTTTAAGTTTTGGAGTCAAACCTCACCTTGTATAACAGCTTTTTTGTTGTTGTTGTTTATAGAAGAAACTCAGGAAGAAAATCCGTTTTATTCTGACGTTCTGAGAATCTTCTCTGCTGTCCTCTGTTGCTAGCACAAAGCACTGGGAAGTGGCTGAACGTGTATTATGGTTGCTTATCACATGTATCTATAAATAATGAGAAACTATTAAGTTTTAATTTTTGCTATCTTAATGTATAATATTTAATATTGTATAATTTTCAATGTATAAGTTTTCACTTTTTGTATAATCATTAACTTTTACAATAAATGCAATTGACCGTTTCCTTATTACATTAAAGTATACTATATTAATTGATTTTTGCTTTGTGAATACAGTTTTACTGAAACTACGTCAGTTTTACTTAACTTTTAGTAGGGGCCTATTCTATTCTGAAACTACCAAAATCTAACCTAGAGCGTGCTTGATATGACATGAAAGCAGCAAACCGTATGGTAAATTAAAACTTAAAAGGTATGCAGGATTTGTTTTTTTTGGGGGGGGGGGGACCCTAATCGGTTTTGCCCTATCCAGTACTATTTGCAGCTCTTTTGCCCTCACCCGTGTGCTGCTCGCGAGAAACATACGTGTGTACGAACGATAATATTGTTGTTGTTTACTTGAAGCAATGAGATATTAATGATAATAATAATATATTTAATACCAACTTGCATGAAGCATGGAGGAAGAACCAAGGGCGTACCGTTACTCCATGCATGAAGTAAACAATATTATTTTTCAGGTGGTTACTTTAAACATCGGAACTTGCGGCCCGACACTCTACAACACAGCCCGGAGAAAATTGTTTATGAAACTGTTTATGAACTCTGTTAATGACTGTGGATGTGAGTGTACTTAATCCAACGAGACTAGGGTAATCAGTGTCCACGCCCAGCTCTATTATCAATTGGGTGCCCATTGAATGCGTTAAAAGGGGAACGGAATTGTCCTGGTAATACAATAGCGGAATAAGTTCAGAAGACCCAACCGACTTCTAACGGTACGCCCTTGGTTCTACGATCTAAATTATGTTCCTACACATTCACCTGCGTTATTTTACACAGCCAGGCACGAGCCACTTCTATAAATAGGCTAATTCCTACTTTGCCCTAATCAAAGATGTATTAAAGTGATTAAAATTTATATCACCGATGTCTCCACTGGCAGAAATTGTATAGAATTGAATAACTATAAATCTACTTATTTCACACTATAGAAGGTAGCTCTAACAACAGCACGAAACTGGCTTGAATAGGCCTCTATAGACAGTAGGCCTATTAGTATAATTAAATACAAATACAACCATACAAACATGAAATTTAAAAAAAAAACATTAAGATTATTCATGCCTATGTTTGAGTGAAGATTTACTCTCTAAATGTAAAAGCGCGAAAATCAGCTCAAAAAGAGCGAAAATCAGCTAAAAAAGAGCGAGTTTTTCACTCTTTAAGGAGCTCTAGGAGGGACAGCTCTTTTTGAGCTAAAATTTCTCTTTCAAAAGAGCGATTTATTTTCGCTCTTAATAGTGGCGAAAATGGCTCTTTTTTTTAAGGACATCTAGCATTTATAGCTACTTTGTCTTCAAAAATGTTAACAATTTCTTTATGAAAACCAATTAAAATTAAAATGTCAGATGCATCAGGGCCGAACCGTACCGGCTTTGGCCGGACCCCTCCTTATTATTTCTATTACTTTCTCAAATAAATACATACTGATATCTATAAAATTATATGAATTTATTAATTATGTTCGCATAAAAGTGTGTTTTAATGGTATACAAAAATCAACCATGCGTTTGTATTGCCTGTCATTTAAACTTTTGTGACAGTCTTCAATTTTAGTAATTATGGTTGATTTTAAAGTATTTATTTATTTTAGGCCTATATGAATATGTATATATATGAATATGAATATGTATATACTGT